TTCACTATGTTCTTGTAGCTTTATTTCACTCGTTATAATACTTTCTTTTTGTGCCCAATTTTTACCATCTGTTGTAAGTGGTTTTTTAACATCTGAATTCCAGAAAGCTCTCGGTGCAGCACATCAGAGTTTTTAGATACTTTCCCCTTTTCTTCCTCTTATCAGTGTATTTTGCAATTATGCAGTCAGCATTATGCTTTTGAGAGCTTCCAAGCCTTCTTGAGCTTCCTTACACAGTTTCTGATCTTGGAATTGATCCTAATTTTCCTTTGAAAAACTTGAAATCTGCCTATCCAATATGTGCAGCATTCTCCTTCCTTTGTTTCTTGATCTCCAAACATGGCTGCTTTCTCTAAAGCTTCCTCCCATTTGCACGTTACCAATCATGTTTCACTAGTGAGGATTAGGTCCGAAGTAACAGTTTCTCTCATTTCTCCTCTATCTTCTAAACACTAAATTTTTACACAGGCAAAAGCATGTCATCAGAGGCACTGATTAAAGCTGAGTGACACTTTCACAAATATCCCCTGGTCATTAATAATAGCTAATAACAGCTGATAGTTTTTGCACACTGCCACATGACAGGCACCATACTAAATCCTTTTTACGTAATCTCACTTCTCTCCTGTCATAGGGTTATGAATGTGTTATCCCAGTAATACAGTTGAGGATATGGGCTTAAAGATATTTACCTGTGTGCCCAAGACTGCCACAGCTTTTGAGAGCCAAAGTCAGAAATTTCCTAAATTGGATCGTTAATCACCAGACATGGTGCTTAATTACCGTACTTGACAGGATTCTATTATTTGAAAACCTGTGTATCTCTCAGACCACTGGATGTGCACAGTAGGCCCTTAAATATTTAATTTGAGGTTTATGATTCTTGTTGATTTTCAGAGTATTGCCTTTTAACTCCAGTAAGTCAATAAGAAAAAGATGAGAAAAATAGGTAAGGCACACTGTTAGGCAATTTATAGAAGAAATGAATGGAAAATGAAAATATGAAAAAATTCTCGGTTTTTTTTTTCTTGTTTTTTGGGGGGTGGGGATTCTGTTGTTTCGAGACGGAGTCTTGGAGTCTCGCTCTGTCACCTAGGCTGGAGGGCAGTGGCATGATGTCAGGTCACTGCAACCCTTGCCTCCCAGGTTCAAGCATTTCTCCTGCCTCAGCCTCCTTAGTAGCTGGGATTATAGGCGTGCACCACCACACCCAGCTAATTTTTGTATTTTTTTGTAGAGACAAGGTTTTACCATGTTGCTCAGGCTGGTCTCGAACTCCTGGGCTTTTAAAATCATTTTGATGGAGAACCATTTTTTGAATGGCAAGAACTCTTTCTGTTTATAAATATGATACACAAAAAAAACAAAGAATGCACAAATGTTTGTGTGAGCTACCGTGCCCAGCCCACTTTAACTTTTTATGTGTGAAGTAAAAGTAGTAAAATAGAAGATCTTAGGTTGTTCTCACCTTTTTTCCTTTATTATTTGTTTTATTGAAATTACTTGTTTGCTAGTATTCATCATTTGCTATGATTTTTCCAGAGTTATTTGTGCTAGGAAGAATTGGGCTGGATGTCCAATCACTGTAATTCATACGATCGATTTTTTTTTATTAAGAGCAATTATATTGTCTTTTATTTGAGAGGGATCATTAGGCTCATTCATTGAACATGTTAAATGTTTTAATAAATGAGTATATAATGTAAAGATTTTTCTAAAGAGTAATGGAAGCTGTGTTGTAACCTTCTGGAAATTATATGAGCTTTGAAGTAAAATTGTCCTTATTTAAGGTTCAGATCCCAGCTCTACCAGTTTTAGTTACGTAAACAATTTGGGCAAATTACTTAACATTCTAAGCCTCAGTTTTCTTATCAGGAAAACAGGTATGGTTATCACACTCTAACAGGAGGAATAAATTAATGTGAGATGCACATGTAAAGCACCCAGTGCAGTAACAATGTTAGGTTTTTTTTTCTTTTTCTTTTTCTCTTCCATTGAGTTGGAGTCTCACTCTGTCACCCAGGCTGGAGTGATCTCAACTCACTACAACTGCTGCCTCCTGGGTTCAAGCGATTCTTTTGCCTCAGTCTCCCGAGCAGCTGGGATTACAGGCGTGCACCACCATGCTCGGATAATTTTGTAGTTTTAGTTGAGACAGGATTTCACTGTGTTGGCCAGACTGATTTTGAACTCCTGAGCTCAGGTGATCTGCCTGCCTCAGCCTCCCAAAGTGCTGGGATTACAGGCATGAGCCACTGTGCCTGGCCAGTGTTAGTTTTCTTTCTTATGAAGTTGAACAAGGGTTTCTCAGCCTTTTTTGTGCCATTTACTGCTTTGCTGATCTGGTGAAGCTTATGGAAGGACTGCTTCTCAAAGTAATGATTTTAATGATAAAATGCCTGACATTACAAAGGAAATTAGTTATATTGAATACAGTTAACAAAATACTTAAAACAAATTTGTTGTGCTTTTTGTTTTGAACACTGTTTTGGGCTAAGGCAAGAAATAAAGTAATGAATGCGTTAAAGAAAGAAAGAAAGGAGGAAAGGACAAAGAGGAGAAGCAAAGAGAGGAAGCTCACAAATGTATATACCTGGTTTTGACTCCCTCCCAAGCTGTCATCCCAGATTCCCAACAGGCTCTTAGACATTTCCTCCTCGGCACCCTACCAATGAAGTTGAATGAATACCTCTCCCAAACCAGCTCATCTTCCCTGTTTTTCCTTATTGATATCACCACATTCTCTATCACCTTAAGTCTAAATGCTCAAATCACATTTGAGTCTTCATTCTTTCACCCTATTTCAAATCACTCATGGTTTTCTGTAGATTTTAATCTCTATACTAGTTCCTATTTTCCAAATTTAAAACCCTCTTATCCTTGTCTTATTACACAGGATTTTTCTGCTTGGTCTCCAACTTCCTGTGTCTTTCAAAAAGTTTCTCTTGAATGTTTTGGGCCAGTTTAATATATTCTATATTTCTAATTCTGCAGTACTCACAGATGTGCTGTTTGGCTTCATACCTAATTGTCACCTGACTGACTTACCTATTGGTAAATTTATATTTGTTTTCACTTTCCCAAATACATTCTAGGTTCTTTAAGGAAACGGATCACATCTTATACTTATTTTTGTTTCTCCCTATAGCGCTTAGCACAATACTTAAAAGTGCTTTATTTTTTATTTTTATTTTTTGAGATGGAATCTTACTCTGTCTCCCAGGCTGGAGTGCAGTGGTGCATTCTCAGCTTACTACAACCTCCGCCTCCCAGATTCAACCAATCCTCCTGCTTCAGCCTCCTGAGTAGCTGAGATTACAGGCGTGTGCCACCACATCTGGCTAATTTTTTGTATTTTCAGTAGAGACGGGGTTTCATCTTACTGGCCAGAATGGTTTCAATTTTCTGACCTTGTGATCCACCCACCTCAGCCTCCCAAAGCATTGGGATTACAGGCATGAGCTACTGTGTGTGGCCAAAAATGCTTTAATTTTAATTTAATTTTATTTTATTTTAATTGTTTTTGTAGAGATGAGGTCTTGCTTTGTTGCCCAGTCTCAAGTGATCCTTCCACCTTGGCCTCCCAAAGTGCTGGGATGACAGGCATGAGCCACCACACCTGGCCAAAAGTGCTCTATAAAATCTTGGTAGTCATCATAATTAGGTAGCTCCAGCTCCAAAAGCAAAAGGGAAAATGTTTGCCAAGCATAGTGGCTCACACCTGTCATCCCAGCAGCTCAGGAAGTTGAGACAGGAGTATTGCTTGAGGCCAGGAGTTCAAGACTAGCCTGGGCAACACCAAGACCCCATCTCTAAAAATATATAGTAATAATAGTAATTTTTTTTTTTTTGAGATGGAGTTTCGCTCTTGTTGCCCAGGCGGGAGTGCAATGGCACGATCTCGACTCACCGCAACCTCCACCCTCTAGGTTCAAGGGTTTCTCTGGCCTCAGCCTCCCGAGTAGCTGCGATTACAGGCGTGCACCACCATCCCCAGCTAATTTTGTATTTTTAGTAGGGAAGGGGTTTCTCCATTTTGGTCAGGGTGGTCTTGACCTCTCGACCTCAGGTGATCGCCCACCTCGGCCTCCCAAAGTGCTGGGATAATAGGCATGAGAATAATAATAATTTTAAAATAAAATTTAAAAAATTTGACCTAATATCTGCTGTTTTTTTTTTTTTTTTTTTTTTTTTTTTTTTTTCTTGTTGCCCAGGCTGGAGTTCAATGGCATGTTTTTTTTTTGTCAGCTTCATACTTTACAAGCTT